AGTTTCGCAACCTTTTGTGCAGCAAGACAGCAGCACAGAGGATGAGTGAAAGCAACAGGGAAATCAAAGCCAAGCAAGGAAGTGCTCAAGGGTTCCTCCATCCCTCTGTGACGAAGGGCTGGCGAGGGAGCCCTCTTCAAAGGCAGGCATCTGGAAACCACACTCGTGATGCCCATAATAAGCTGTTCCCCCACGAGTGCAATAGGTAACAGCCCAAATCCAGATCCCCTGACCTTCTTCTCCAAATCGCCCTCTCCTACCTTCCAATTTGCAGTCAGAGGAACAGGGGTCAGACCAAAGCCCCTTTGAGCCCCATATCCTGTGTCCAGCAACAGCCAGTTATAGTTGCCTGGGGAGGAATAGGAGAGCAGGGCCGGCAAGCAGGGATATTTCTTTCAAATACTCACCGTCGACCCACAGTTTGCAGCTTAGGGACATCCTGGGCCAGGGGTGTTTCTGAGTATTTAGTAGCCCTTGGGGGATTTCTGTACCACCTTTATATTACTGCAAAGCTCAGGCAGCCACCTGGCCCATGTCTCCTCTAAAACTTCAGCCAGTTTCTGCCGCTGTAGTTCAAATGTGGGGCAGAGCTTTCACACGAGCCAGCTGAAACATGGTGAGATGAGGTTGTGTGCTGCCATGGCCATGTCAAAGCCAGTTTCAGAGGTTTGAGAGGTCACGGTCCGGTCCTGGCAGCCCAGACCCCACAGGTAACTCCATGAGGATTGGTTTAATGCTAGCAAATGACACAGTCTCCTCTGTGCTATTCCCTTGCAGTTCCTCCAGATGATCCTGTCATTATGGGGGGGCCCATCATCAGCCTGAGAGCAGGAGACCCTCTCAACTTGACCTGCCACGCGGACAATGCTAAGCCAGCAGCCTCCATCATCTGGATGAGGAGAGGAGAGGTCATCAATGGAGCCACCTACTCCAAGGTGAGGCAGGATGGGGCTGGGGACAAAGGCTGTGCTCTCCCTTGCTTTAAAAAGGGAGGCCAAGCCTGATGCTGCTCTTCACACAGCCCCAAAACACGTAGGGCAGCACCTTCAGCTCTGCAGAGCTGAGACTCTCACCCCACATCACCCCATACAGCCTTCCCGATGGAGAGGCTGGGAGGAAAACAGTCAGGAGGGTGCAAGTGAGAAACCACAGACTGTCACCAAAATGGGCTCTGCTCTGAATGTGGCTGGCTTTTTGTACCCTCTCACATCTGGCATGTCCAGTTCTCCCCCAAAAATCCTGCCTGGGTGAGGTGTTAATGTTGCGTACAGCACCACACAGCCAACACTGTCCCAGCCTTGGTTGTAGCAAAACCTCTGGATCAAAAGGTGGCTGTGGTGACATATGTCCCCTTCTTCCAACTGTAATTTTCCATGAAAAATTGTCAGGGTTGTTGGCATTTTTTAATTTAAATGGAAAGGCTTTATTGGGTCATAAAGGAAAACATCAAAGAGCAATCAACAGTGTACTCAGAATGGGTGCCCACATGTTCTTCTGTTTATAGATGCCTGATGTCTGGTAAGTGCTAAAGATTCAGTAACACTTGACATTTCTGATGAAAATTTCTAAAGAACAGAATTCGAGATGTAAAATGGGTCAGTTTGCAGCCATTTGTAATGCAAGCAGACTTCAAAGTCAGGAGTCAGAGGCATTCCTCTCAAGCTCATGAAGATCTTTTAATAAACGTTTCACTCTCTGCTACTGTTGTGAAGCCTCCATCCATCCAGACTTTTCCCAGCAACATCCCGATCTGCTTGGAAAAGCAGAGGAGCCAAAATGCTCCTCTCCTCCCTGTCACTCCGCGGAGCGCACCGATACCTCAGCTGACACCGAGCTGCTTCCTCGTAGCTGATGGGTGTGAACAGAGGGGGAAATTGCCCCATCTCAATGCAAGAGGCAGCACTAATTAAAGACAGAGAGAACTGACCTCTCCCTCTCTCAAATCAAGTGGAATTAATTAAAATCCAGGCCATTGACATGCAGTTGTTTATAACTTCCTCCGTTCACCCCAAGCCTTCCTCTCTGCTGCAGACTGCTCGGGGCAGGCCCTGGGGAGGCAGCATTTAAGTCTTCTCGCTTTCAGAGCCACAAGTAGTGAGTCACGGAGAAGGAAGAATGCCCCTCTTGTATTTTACTTCAAAATATTTCAAAAAAAACCCACCTTCTGAAGCACAGCTTTTCAGGCTGCAGCTCCACCTCACACGTGCAGTACAGAGATTTCCGTGGCATTTTAAGCAGCTGCCGAGGATGGTTGGGGTGGGGGGAAGCATCTCCTCCTCCTCCTGGGGTCAGGAGAACCTCAGTTTCTGAGGCTGAACCTCACTTTCTTCTTACTGGAGGTTTCTATGAGGCCCTTCCAGGAACACACCCCTGCCACGAGCAGGGAGGAGCGATGCTCCGGGGCCAGGCATGCACGGGGGGGGGGG